TTTTTTTTTTTTTTTTTTTTTTTTTTTTTTTTTTTTTTTTTTTTTTTTTTTTTTGTAAAAACACATATTTAGATCTCTTTTCTTCTCAATATGTAAAAACACATATTTAGATCTCTTTTCTTCTCAATATCTCACCACTCATTTTCTAACTGCCAAGATAGTAATTCTCGTAAAAACAGGAGATGTAGATCCCTCCTCTCTTCAATATCTAGATCCCTCTTCTTTCCAATATCTCACACTTATTTTCTAACAGCTAATTTTTTTTTTTTGTAAAAACACAGATTTAGATCCCTCTCCTTCTCAATATCTCACCACTCCTTCTCTAACTGCCAAGATAGTAATTCTAGTAAAAACAGCAGATTTAGATCCCTCCTCACTTCAATATCTCACACTCATTTTCTAACTGCTAATTCTTCTTTTAAAAATAGCAGATTTAGATCTCTTCTCTCCTCAATATCTCACCACTCCTTTTCTAACTGCCGAGGCAGTAATTCTCCCTTTTTAAAAAGGGTAGATTTAGATCTCTCTCTTCAATATCTCATCACTCATTTTCTAACATCCCTCCTCTCCTCAGTAATTCTCCCTTTGGTAAAAACAGCAGATTTAGATACCTCTCACACTCATTTTCTAACGGCTAATTCTTCTTTTAAAAATAGCAGATTTAGATCTCTTCTCTACTCGATATCTCACCACTCCTTTTCTAACTGCCACTTCTAAAAAGGGTAGATTTAGATCTCTCTCTTCAATTTTAACAGCAGATTTAGATATCTCATCTCCTCAATATCTCACCACTCTCTTTCTAAACTAAGAAGATAGTAATTCTTCCTCATAAAAACAGTAGATACTCCCTTCTGTAAAAAGGGCAGATTTAGATATCTCATCTCCTCAATATCTCACCACTCTCTTTCTAAACTAAGAAGATAGTAATTCTTCCTCGTAAAAACAGTAAATTTAGATCCCTCCTCTCCTCAATATCTCACATATCACCCCTCCTTTTCTACCTTCCAAGATAGTAATTCTTTCTGTAAAAACTCCTCTTTTTTCTAACATCCCTCCTCTCCTCAATATCTAGTAATTCTCCCTTTTGTAAAAACAGCAGATTTAGATACCTCCTCTCCTCAATATCTCTGTAAAAACAACATATTTACATCCTTCTTCTCCTCAATATCTCACCACTTATTTTCTAACCGCCAACATAGTAATTTTTTTTTTTTTTGTAATAACAGCAGATTTAGATCCTTCCCTCCACACTAGCAGATTTAGATCCTTCCCTCCACACTATCTCACCACTCTTTTTGTAACTGACAAGATAGTAATTCTTCCTTTATAAAAATAAAGGATTTAGATCCTCCTCAATATCTCATCATTTCTTTTCTAACTAAAACTCCAAATTTAGATCCCTCTTCTCCTCACTTCTCCTCAATATCGCACCACTCCTTTTGTCAAGATAGTAATTCTTTCTTTAAAAAAAATAGGAGATTTAGATCCCCTCTCCTCAATGTCTCGCCACTCCTTTTCTAACTGCTTTCTTTTATAAAAAGAGAGATTTAGATCCTCTTCTCCTCTCCTCAATGTCTCACCACTCCTTTTCTAATTGCTTTCTTTTATAAAAATAGCAGATTTAGATTCCTTCTCTCTTCAATATCTCACCACTCCTTTTCTAACGGCCAATAATTTAGATCTCTCATCTTCTCAATATCTCACCTCTCATCTTCTCAATATCTCACAACTTCTTTTCTAACTGCCAATAATTTAGATCTCTCATTTTCTTCTCAATATCTCACCACTCTTTTCTAACTGCCAATAATTTAGATCTCTCATTTTCTTCTCAATATCTCACCACTTTCTTTCTAATGGGAACATAGTAATTCTCCTTTTGTAAAAAGGAGAGATTTAGATACTTATCTCCTCAATATCTCACCCTAATAATTCTTTTTTTTTTTTTTTTTTTTTTTTTTAAAA